GACTTGTACTCTTTACATCAACTTCCGAAATACGAAACCATACGAGAAAACACTCCTAGTTTGGGTGTGTATGACTCGAGAAGAAACTCTTGAACACTTTCCCATTCGCGATGCCTGTTTTATACCGATGTTCTCGAAGAAACTAAATCAAGGTCCAAAATTATATTATTTGTGGTACAGTTGATGGGAAACATCGATATGGATAGTCAACCGCATAGTCTCCCCAAGTCGTAGAGCTCATTATCAATCTGAATCTCGAAGTTTTCCTGTCTCGCTCTCCACTTAAAATTTGACTACTCAACCGTTTATGCAAGACAATTGGGGATTTTTGTGCTGCCGCACACTAAGCTCCGCGCCTGGATTGAGTATTATTCAACTCAACAATTCCACTCACGCACACACCCACACAAGCCCATACTTGAAACTACCAACAGACAACCGATTGCATTGGTCGGCGTTGGTGAATTTGAACTGGTTCTCGTTGTACGCGACAGTCCCTCGGGGCAAGCAAGACGGCACAACAGTTAGCCAGTGTATAAGCCCTCCATCAAACCTTACAAGTCGGCATGATGGAAAAACTTCACGAAGGCGAGCAGAGGCAGGGTGCTTGTTACATTTGACGCAGTCGGGCGTTATTGTGCAATCAACACAATGGTTCCCTTGTGTACTTGTCGTCATCATCATCAACCATTATGCGGTTGCTCTTATATCTTTTGTTGTAACTATCCACTACTTATGGGTGTAAGAAAGCGAAGGAAACTAAAGTTGTGTTTTTATCTTTCTTACCATCTCCACAGTTTACGGACTACGAGTGTATGAATTCATCTAAGTTGTACACCTATACAAGTACACTTAGATGTGCTTTGCCGCATGCGAGCAGCACAAGCTCAACCAACCTTCTATTCTACCCATTTGGTTTTATTCCCATGGAATTGAGCGTGATAAGACTAGCTTTTGCCCTAACGCCAAACGTGCTTACAAACGATGCCAATACAAGCAGGCAGAGCTGAAGAAATATTCGGAATGATGTTTCTAACTATCTCGATTGATTACCAGGCGAATTTTTTTTTGCTACTTGTCTGGTTTCAAATGCGAATGTAGGTGGTGTGCTCGATCATTTGTCACTCTTCTGATTTAAAGGGAATAGCAGTTACCGAACAACTGGCCATACCTTTGTGGTTTACCTCGGAATTTTCGAGCGTATCAATTTAGTTTATGAAACCGCAATGCTCTACATGGTGGAAATGTTATTACCAATTTACGCAATAAATTTCGTTTGAACTACGGCAAATTCTTGTTTATTTTTTTTTTGGAAACTGATTGGTTCATGACATTGTTATCGAGGTAAACGCAAAAAATCACCGAAATTGTAGTAGCATTTTTCTTGCATTAGTTAGACCATGTCGTTTAAATAAGCGGGTTTTCGGTGTTTTCATCATCTCTTGTGGATTGTCCGCAAAATTTAGGAAGGATATTTTCGCCCTGTAAAGAAAATTGGATCAACAATTGCTAGGGTTTTGGATGTGTTTATGTGTGTTTGACACTGGCCATCGAACTCCATTCTATTGGAATTCGCGCGAAAACAAGCTTGTCTGTTTCTTTTAATCAACCAAATTGAATGCACCCTGCTTATGCTGTGTGTTTGTTGCACCGTCTTACATTTTGTCGGGGAAATAGCATTTCTCCAAGAAGAACTGCAATACAATCAACATTCTGGACGCAATGACCACCCACCAAATTGCACACGAAACCGGAAGTGCTAACTGAACCCAGAGGGCATGAGCGAAAACAAAATGCATTGCTATTTAGCAAACCTTTCTGTCCGCTCGGGCTTTGCCTGTAATCTCATTCGCCTCATCGAAACTGTCTAGTTCCGTCAAAAGCATCGCGCTGCGGTGATCGTCAGCCTGAGACTGTGACTGTTGTGAGAAAATTCGAGGTTTAAATCAAAACAACCAGTTTTTCTGTAACAGGATCACTGGTGTTTAACATGATGTGCGAGAACTCATATGGCCTCTTGGAGGTGAATAAATTAAACCCGTGAAAACTCCCAATACGAACGCTTAATAGATTCACTAATACGTTTCAGTCAGGTTAAACTGCCACATTTTCCTTGCATATAGATTGTATGCATACAGAATAAAACAATAAAGCATAAATATGTTTTGGTAACGACTCAAATTATGGTACTCCCCATGTGCAGCTTTTCATCACAAATAACCTGCACTGCTGTGGAAAGGATGTTACACCTCCTAGGCAGAACAGGACGAAAACAGAAAACAGTTGAAATCAATTAACTCAAGGAGTTTAGTTCAGACCATCATTCTTTACAACTGGATTCCATCAAACACGCATCAAGTAAGCGTCTGTAAATAATTCGTTTTTGAATCATCAAACCAAAAAGCTGTCAATTGATGATTCTAAGGATTTGGCATTTTTGTCCACGGTTGTGCTTGACGAAACGAGTTTGCCGGTGCTATACACGTAGGGTAAAGTCTTTTCTCACCACTACTGATTGCGTACACATAAAACTGTGGCGCGCAGATCGCTCATAGTCCAAAAGGTTGTTTAAACGCGACAGAGAACAAAATTCTCACATGAGAGATTTTGCAGTAGATTATCAAACAAGTTACCGTGAATCAGAACAACTATTGAAATAATATTTACATATTTTCAACTCAAAATATATTTCTCCGGTTTTGGATAATCAAATATGAAACTGTTTATCAATTCATTATTGATAGCACACTGTTTCCCTTGAAAATATATTTTACCTATTTGACAAGAAGACAGACTGCAAGATGTCCGATGCATATATGAGTGAAAAATCGGGTCCTATAATAACGATATTTGAAAATCCCAAGATTAAAGAAGACAACCATATTTGTTCTATTTCTTTGCGTTTCTCATTCTCTTCTCGCCACATCAATAAGAGTTTTTTTATTAGTGGTCCGCAACACAGAAAAAAAACGGTTTAATCTCCCATGTAAACGTTTTTAGCACTTGATGGCTTGACATCGTCTGTTTTTTGATGATTTTTTCTCTGAACGCGATTGTTTGCCTATTCCGTTGTAGGATAACGTAATTTATTATTTGTGAATCCAGATAATAGGAATAATAAAACACCTTGATCACCGTAAGTGATTTGCACTGCCGTTGATTACCAAAATGAAAAACGGTCCAATCAGCTACCCGGTAGTCAAGTTTGTAGTCAGCTTCCATTCTACTTTTGCAGTTCTGGGTTTGATCCTCAATGTTGTTGATAGACATGGACTGTTGATGAGACACAATAATATCAAAACAGATATCCGGTGCTTTCTAGCATCTCAGTTCACGCCGTACTTGTCCTGTACAAGGCGAACTTTACCATATCGTATTTAAAAGGCTGATATTTAATAGTGGCGTGCATTATTGCTACTGGCTCGCGCTTCTTAATGTTCCTTTTTTCATTTTAACCCGTTCGTCTTATAATTATGCTCATTACGCGGTGCAAATATACAACGCGATGAAGTGGCAACTCATCTTTGTTTTCACTTTCACCTAAACGTTTTGAAGGTGTTTGTTCGGATGAAACTGAATCGACGAATGTGTGTTGTAGTTTGATGTGTATCTCTGTATTCTCTGACCGGCTGCTCTCCACGACCGGGATTATCGGAAGATCCGTCGTTCGTTGTAAGAAACTATCTGTCACTGGATACGTTTGTTCACGTTACCGCAATACGGCATACCTAGATGTGACTGACAAAAACAAGCAGATGCCTGTGTAGGTCCCGTCTGTGATATATACATATGAGTTGTGAAACCATCTCATTTGTCTCAATCGTTGCAACCACTGGACCACGATAAATCGATTTTCAAAGGCAGATACCTGCGGTTGTTGTGCTTTCTTAGACCGGGAGAAAATGTTTTATACCACACATAATAACCGTATATTCACAGTTTCCAATTATAGCTAAACCTCATTAACTTGGTTGGGATGATCATACATCAGTTACGAAAAACCGTCAGTGAGAGATTGCTACTTCCGAGTACTCATTAAAAAGGACGTATGAAACAAATACTGAAAATACCAATGCAAAGTATTAAACAACTAAAGATGCGAGGCAAGTATACTAAACTAATAGTGTATAAAGTGAATTTTGTTTTTCGGAACCTCGTTATATTTTTAGGAACTGCTTTTAAGAGGTTCAAGAAAAGTTAGTTATCGAATACAATCATTATTCTTGCAAAGTGGCTCATTTAATTTCGGATTATGATACAAAATATGGTTTAGACTATGTCCAGGGTTCTTTTTTGGGTTGAGATTTGAGCCACATGCCAGCAGCTCTATCGCCCGAAGATGGCGAAAATAACTAATTTCTGATCAGCTGTTAACTGTGAAGTACATCATTGACCTGCTGGAGTTAGATATCTGACTGGCTTCTCCACACCATGGACATCCGTAGGTAGCATTACAAGGCCCAGAAGTATGTATCCGAAATGTCCGGTAGTGGGTGTCCTTCCGATTATGTCCAAAAAGTGTGGGCTGCCACCGACTGATCGTTTGTAAGGTAAAAAACCTTCCTTATTTAAAAGGGATAGAGAGAAGTAACTTATTTTGTTTCCAATGTTTTGTCAAATTCTGAAAAACATAAAATGTCCCATTTAGCTCTGAAAAAGCTTGTGGAAGTAATATAGAAAATGTTTATTACGTTACATTTATGAAGGCGCTGTAATACTTCATTTTCTGGCACAAGCAGACGTCGATTAGCTTTGTAAACCTAATCGAAATGTTGCTCAAAGTACTCGGTCTATGCTTCCTTGCTATGACTGACTGTGATGTCATATCAAACTTTTATTACAGCAATTAGAACGTTTTATGTCGATGATTACTGGTAGATGATAGAATTGGACTATTCTAAGGATGAAACGAATAATCTGAGGCAGATTAATGAGCCGGGGTATTGATGAATTGTTTGGAACGTGAGAACAGCATTCATTGGAATCCGTGCACTAAATAAATGTCATCTACCTCCTTGGCCCAAATGTTTTGCATGCAGATTCTAGAAGGCAATCGACCAAACGTATCCTTGGGTAAACTGCGAGCACATGATCCGGATGATGGCCCAAACGGTCAGGTGACCTATCGAATTGTTTGGCCTTCCAAACAGCCCTTGTCAGATCGGCCATTTCTGATGACAGACGAGGGAAAGCTAATTGCAACCAAAACACTGGATCGAGAAGCCAACCCGAAAGGTTATCAGTTCCGAGTAAGTGACTGGGAAAAAGAAAAGAACAGTGTGTTCAAAACTAATGATTGATTGATTACCAACGGAATCCAAGATAGACACATCAAAAACGGGATTGATATATGCCAGTTATGTTCATGAATAAGAAATTGCTCCTCTCAACAAAACTCTTGTGAACAATCATTTATTAGTTTATATTTGCACAATAGTTAGTAAATCAAGGTCATGACACCAAATACATACATCATTAAATACTGAATGAGTACTGAGGATTGCAGAATGGATCTTCCTTATATCATGTTCAAATTGGAGTTTGGCTTTCTACCAAATTTCACTTCTCGGAAGCATACGTTATGAAAAAAGCTTTTATTTTCGTTGTTACATTTATGAAACATCATTAAAATAGGCCATTTTCGCAAGTTTCCTTACCTTACCTTAATAACAATGTATTTAATTATCTTGTTATAAATGCCATCTTTATCAACAGTGGTGTGTACCCGATGATGTGCGCGATAATAAGCTGTGTGTGGACGGAACAGAAAACACGAGTAGCTTAAGCAGTAACCGGATCCAAATTCAGAGTTTTAGTAGCATTCTGAACTATATATTAACATCAATTTGCATGGTTGTCTTTTAGTCTAATTTTTACTCTTGGTAAAGTATCGGGCGTTGGTTTGCGGCTTGCTAGATGCTACTCTGTGGGCACGGGTTTTTCGCAAAGAAACAAGTGGTTTACGATATCAAACACCAATTCTTTGAGCTCCCATCGATTTGATAACAAATGAAACAAAACGGGACCAGGATCTTGGGTGCTGAACTTCATGAACCACCAAACATGTGTGCATTTGTCTGTCTTTATTGTGTTTCTTTGCACCGAAAAGTTCCCATCTGCAGTGCACAGTTTGCACCAATTAAGAGTACGGTCTACAGATAACAGTGGTTTGTTCAACTGCTGTACACCCTTCTTTAGGTGACTTTGGCTCAGAAACATGCCTTGTGGTTGTTTTGCCCCGCAGAACGCTAACACGTGCACCGGGAAAGGAAGAATGGGGTTAGGACAAAAACTGAGGCTAATGTATTTAGTACTAGCCAAAAGGACAATCAGAACCGCATTCATCGTTGCTCAGGTGTGCGTATTCGTGTTCAATAGAGGTTCGTGGCAATGCTCACAGTGTACTGCTAACTATAGTACGATTAAATGAATATCAATTGTTGGACATTCTTTATTGAACAGCAGTGTGTGGCTGCTAGACACAGCAAGTAGAAAGTGGGTTGTTAGACCGAGAAATTAGTGTTGCAAAGATCGTTCGAGTGTGTTTGTGGGTGGTTGGATGCACAGTGAAAAAAACTAAGGCTGTTTGCTAGTCATTTTAGTTGATAAACGAATGAGACGGAAGTCAAATGCAAAAGGAAACAGTTTTGGAGGAACGTGAGCCAGGCCGAAATTTACGTAATTGATAAACCAAGGAACCTTCAGAGCATAAGGAACAGTAGTTGTTTCCCCCTAATCTTTAGAAACGGAAGACTGATGAACGTAAAAGCACTACTTGCAGATTTCTTACTTTCTATCCTTCTGAGAAGTTTAAAGACTAAAACTTAAAGACTTAAAGACTAAACTAATCCTGAATATATTTTCATTGGATTTCATTCCTTTTTTCTCAAAATTGGTCATTTTCCGCAATTACCCTAAGCATGACACCCTTTTTCGTTACTAAAGTTCATTTCATCGATGAACATCATGAGCTCAAGCTGATACTGGATCATTGTTAAAAACTATCAAAACAGACATATTCCCCATTCGAAAATACCTGACCGTTTAGCGATTTCCCAGTTAGTATTAAAAAAATGTTACGCCTAACTACTGAGGGCCACGATGTGTGTACATACATCTACCAGTGTACACTTGCAAATGTTTGGGTTTTCCATGGGTGTTCAGTACTATCAATCGTATTAAGAACGGCTACGGTATTTCAGATGGTTTCCCACTATCTCAACTTTAGAGAAACCCAGGTTTCTGTAAATTTAAAATAAAACAAATTGTGGCGCACATGTTTGTGTTCAGTGATTCGTAGTCATGCCAAATACATCACAATAAATATCTCGCTGTTGATATACGTAGCAATAATAAAACATGAAAAAAAACATCAATGGTTTTGGGAAAGAAAAATAACATTATAGGTGGTCTGGAGCTAATTTTGTCTAAGTATCGGGCGTGAAATGCTGAATGAACACAATTGTTAGGTTATCCGATAGTTTGGATCACTCGGGATGTGGGGTTTGTGGGGAGTGAGCCAGGGGAGCTTAATCGCCTGCAGTGATTGTTATTGGGCCCACAAGGCGGGGTTGTGCAGACGAATTCCTACCACTTCCACTGTGATCAGCATACGACATCATACCTGCCTTGCAAGTCGACCACGAACACAATACAGGGGACGGAATGCCTCTGTCACATTCGCAGTGTGATTTGTTTCAACTGTGTGAAACCACTGCACTACTGAGTGACCTGATCGTTCCTGTATTTAACCATGTGGGGTGGAGATCACGGATTCATTCGGACAAGTGCCTGACTGTGCGACCTATGTACGTTGGTCCACACGTAAATGAGTACACACAAAATGAGTCGGTTGAATCCGGCACTTTGTCCTTTTGTCGTAAACACAGAATTGATCGGGACGTGAACAAAACATTGAGGTTTGCGGCGTAGCAGGTCGTAGAAGGTCCCGAGACAAAACTAGCCCCAAGTAACCCGTGATGTTATTTTCCCCTTCCCCAAAACTATTCATTGTTTTTTTCATGTTTGAATATCAATACATATATAAACAGCGTGATATTCATTGTGATGCATTTGGTATGACTACGAATCACTGAAGACGAGCTTGTTCGCCCTTCTATTCTATCTGGAATGTGCTCTGTGGGACTGTTTGAACAGTTTCTGTAAACATATTTTCTTGGTTGTTAGAACTCAAAATTGGTTTTACGAATGATTCTTTCAATAATATATCTATACCGAGCTAAAGGCCGATTGCAGAAGCAACCCACGGTTGGTTTTTCACTAATCTCAGTCAATTGCGATTTGAGAGAAAAGAGGGTTAGAGATATTCTACTTTGGTTACAAAACAAAAAATATTTGAATATTCACAATTCCTTTAGAACATAAGATAATATACGTTGAATTATCCTAAGCCGTGCTTATCGAATGGAATGATTCATATCCGAATTAGGAATACCACTGAAATTCATCACCAGTGAATTAATGCAAACCACAAGTTGTATCATGTAATCCTAAATCCCTTTAGTATTAGGTCTTTTATTGTTTTCGCCGTTGGACATATACGCTGCCAAAACTCTCACACTCGCCGATACATTGATATCTATAATCAGCAATCCCCTTGTGTTCGGAAACATTCATTGTGTTCGTAAACTGCTTTGTTTGGTCGAGGTTTAAAAATACGAAACAGCAATCAGTTGCCTCGAAGTTCTGATTGCAAAACCCAATCAATTTAGAAATCGAAAACGCGAATGACTCCGTTAGCGAAAGAAGAGCAATTCGGTGAGATCCTAATCTTAGTTTGAATATCGTGAATCGTTCACATAAATCGTGCTGGTATATTCTCAGTACGTTGTGCTGATCTGTTCTAGGGAACAAGGGAAGGTCGGCAATAATAACAGCGAAATCACAATCCCACGTCAAGTGCATTGATTGGGTCAGTCATTGGTCGCTCATAAAAGTCGTCGCCTCAATCAAGGTGTTTAAGCTGTCTTATGCTGATAGAGAAGAATGCCGAAACCAGATAGACTTTGTGTGGCAGAAAACATTGATCAAGGGTATGCTGTACAAATTGAGTGTGTTGTCCGTTTTATGGGTCCATATGCCATAGAAACACAGGATACATTGAGAATTGGAAATTGTGAAAACATTCACGGAAAGTGAAGACAAATACTGAAAATCAAGAAAGATAATCTACCTCTTCGGGCTCGATCAGATAAGCTAAACTGGAATCATTTAAGAAAACCCTCGGGAACCTTGTGTGGCACAACAATACTTAATCCGGTTAGTCTTAAGCCACAGAGGTCGATTAGCAGCTGATGGTTTTGAAATAACTGATAGACTCCCGTACTGGAAGGCCGCAGACTGAACCTGAGCAATCACCAGCATAGGCACATGCGCGCACGCGCACTCACAAACTGCGTTTGTTTCAGTGTGTGCTCGCCTGCGGAGAGGAGGACACACGCACACTGACGTATACATGGTCGATTTGCTCTTGTCAACGACATCGTCGAAATGGTATCATTAGCCGGAAGCAGCATGCTCGTCTTCCTCCATTTGTCCGGTAAACTGTGCTTTCGAAATGAGAAACCCAGTAGTTAGTTTGGATCCTTTGCCTGTCGGACTGGTAAACACTTCAATTTGGCTACGCATAGACAAAATATACCCAATTATCCAATGCAAAGTGATTGGAAATCTAGTATTCATGGTCGCGCACATAGACTGCTATCCCGGGGGTTCACGTTTTTCATATTTCGTAACCTCACACTGTATGCGGTTGAATAAGAACTGTGAATAGGGCGAAAGCAGCGGAAACGCAGAGAGAACGCATTCATCAAATCGAAACTGTGCATGTGAGTTCCGAACTGTTTTCGGGGATCGCGAACAATGCCTTACTATGACTGAATCATACTGAGTTGATTTGTGACTTACAGCGCTTCAAACACGAAAAATGCTGTACAGCATGTAAATTGTAACATAAAAGAATAAAACTGCAAGATATTTGCAAGACAAAATGCACAAAACAACCTTTGACATATAGTCACTGGCCAACCTCGGATAAATCACAACGTCCCAGTGAATCATTGAGTAACAGTGGTTTTAGCCCGTCCAAATGAAAAACAAACATCAGAAGATCATATGAAATTCAAACCCAAGGAGCTGTACCACTGTTGTCTTAGTAAACGTAGAGTTCTAACCTGGTTGTGAGAAGATCGTAACTCTGACTGTAATCTGGTGGGTCAGCGATATATCG